GTTGTGTTGTGTTGTGTTCTGTTGTGTTCTGTTGTGTTGTGTTGTGTTCTGTTGTGTTGTGTTCTGTTGTGTTGTGTTGTGTTCTGTTGTGTTATGTTGTGTTCTGTTGTGTTGTGTTCTGTTGTGTTCTGTTGTGTTGTGTTGTGTTGTGTTGTGTTCTGTTGTGTTGTGTTGTGTTGTGTTGTGTTGTGTTCTGTTGTGTTCTGTTGTGTTCTGTTGTGTTGTGTTCTGTTGTGTTGTGTTGTGTTCTGTTGTGTTGTGTTGTGTTCTGTTGTGTTCTGTTGTGTTGTGTTGTGTTGTGTTGTGTTGTGTTGTGTTGTGTTCTGTTGTGTTGTGTTGTGTTGTGTTATGTTTCACCAAAAATACAACTTTATTACATTTTACAAAGGAAACTTACATTTTCAAAAAATGAAAAATGCTCCTTTTATGATTGGTTTAAATTTAGAATCATATAACAGTAATAACCTTATAAACATTGAATACATATTATTCTTAAACACATATATTTTCTGATGTTTTGGTAAATAAGCCATACAATAAAGCGTTAGTCTCTTGTAATAATTGATCAGTCAGATCTGAACCAGAGCAGTGACATCACTGGTTTAATGGCGGTCAGAGAAGCGAGTCGTGAAGGAAACGTTGGGTCGGTGGCGTTTTGTTCCTCGCTGCCCTTTTCCACTCTGGAACACCAGGGGTGGCACATTCAGCCGCTGACGCTGCCAGCCAATCGCCTCGTCTCGTCTGCCCTGTCACCCTGCATCATAGGGGTCAAAGGGCGCTGTGGCTCCCAGTTAATGAGCCAGTGGCACCCTGCGTTCCCCCCAGCTCAGTGAACTCCCAGAATGCAGTGGGAGTTGGGGATGAAGCAGATAAAACAGGAGAAAGGTAAATGTTCTGGCGATGTGCAAGTTTCCGTCGGACCCTGAGAGCCGGCGGTCCACCTTCAAACACGCAGGAGTTTAGTTAGAGAAATATGCGGCGAGTTTCCCTCGGTGCTAACTGTTCACCCTTGTAATCAGATCATGCTTGCTGAGGGGTCAGGAACAAAGACATGCAAATTGTAATTAAATGTGCAGCACTGGGCCGGGCCCGTTTGATCGCTGAGCCCTTTCATGCCCCCTAATCACTGCTGACAGCCCCTTCCAACAGATTCTGTGACAAACTTCTCGATTCAACTGAGGGGGATTTTTGAACTTTGCTTGTTCCTGCGGCCTTGTCCCCAGGTCTGTCAAACAATCCAAATCAATGACCCAATTGACCACTGGGCCCTTGTTGATAACCTCAATGAGCTCTATGTTGCCATTCATTGTGTCATAGGGCTACATGCCCGCAGCATTTTATGGTAATTAAACTCTGGTTTGGTTCTGAGCCTGAACACAAACACTGGAGGTCCAGAATCACGGGGCGGCTCCGGGGGATGCAGGTGCAGCGAGAGGACAGAGAGATGCTCCGAGCGCGGGACTTTCCCACCAACATGGCCCCGCGCCACTGGCACACTCATTAGGTCATTACAATAACGAAGGGGGCATTTTCTGTTTTATTAAAAAACTCATTATTCCCACAACAAAGGCCACGTACTGACCTCATTGGTGCCCCTGTTATCTGAATATGCCTTTATATCATGGAGCGTCTAATTGCAACTCGGCGCCTCGCAGTTTCCCTCCATCCGACCCGCCGGTTTCCGCTCCGCGAGGAGTGAAAGGAGAGCTAAAGAGGATCGGCCCTCGGGGGCCACTGACCTAATGGGAAACCGGCTTGAGTTCCTGCCATTCAGGAAGCTCCTCTGCAGGTGTAACCCCTCTGACCTTTTCACCTCCGTCTGCAACCCAAATGGGTTTCTGTGAGAAGCCTTGAGAGAAATCACCTCCAGAGACCAAATTGAAATTAAAACCACATCCAAGCCCAGTCCAAAGGCAGAAGTTTGTATTATTATGACAAATTTAATCATATAGAAAATTTGATCTTGTTTAAATGACTCATCAGTGACTGGATCTTACAATGTTTTGGTTTCTGAGAGACGTTGGTAGTTTTTGTCGCCTTGCAGAGGATTTATGGGATGTTCCAGAGATCCTGTGAGGTTTGGGTTTTACCAGAACAAACTCATTATCCACTCTAACATTTAATCACTAATCATAAAGAATACTTCCTCCAAATCTAAAGTGCAACATAATATTTAGTGAGCGCTAAAGCAGCAGCGTGGGATTAAATCTAGGAGTCAGTGGAAGATGAACGAATCCGTCACTTTGACGACGGAAGAGACAAAAACTAGGAGGTTTCACAAAGTTTTGACTCAGGAGGCTGAATTTAGAAACCCAGAGATCATCTTCATCACCTCATCTTCATCACCTCACCTTCACACCTCATCTTCATCACTCCATCACCTCATCTTCATCACCTCATCTTCATCACCTCACCTTCATCACTCCATCACCTCATCTTCATCACCTCATCTTCATCACCTCACCTTCATCACCTCATCTTCATCCTCTCCATCACCTCATCTTCATCACCTCATCTTCATCCTCTCCATCACCTCATCTTCATCCTCTCCATCACCTCATCTTCATCACCTCATCTTCATCACTCCATCACCTCATCTTCATCACCTCATCTTCATCCTCTCCATCACCTCATCTTCATCACCTCACCTTCATCCTCTCCATCACCTCATCTTCATCCTCTCCATCACCTCATCTTCATCACCTCATCTTCATCACCTCACCTTCATCCTCTCCATCACCTCATCTTCATCACCTCATCTTCATCCTCTCCATCACCTCATCTTCATCACCTCATCTTCATCCTCTCCATCACCTCATCTTCATCACCTCATCTTCATCACCTCATCTTCATCACCTCACCTTCATCCTCTCCATCACCTCATCTTCATCACCTCATCTTCATCACCTCATCTTCATCCTCTCCATCACCTCATCTTCATCACCTCATCTTCATCACCTCATCTTCATCACCTCACCTTCATCCTCTCCATCACCTCATCTTCATCCTCTCCATCACCTCATCTTCATCCTCTCCATCACCTCATCTTCCTCATGTCAGAAATTATTATTAAACAAGTTGCCGTCTAAGAATGGATGGAAGCAGATCTGAGAAAACGGTTCAGACCTCAAATGAAATGATTTCAGATGGATGAAAATGCAATAATTGCTGCTTTTTAATTTCCACCTGAATTTAGATTTGAACTCTCAGTGGACGCTTTAAACCTGCAGAGGTTGAAGATGGACGAACTGAAAGAAAACAGGATGGAGTGATGAGTGGAAGAGGAGGAGAGACTGAACTGAGAGAAGAAAGGGTTCAGCAGGAGAGATGAGTGATCAGTCATCAATGAGTGATCCGTCATCAATACAGGACAGGAAAGGACGTGTTGAGCAGCAGGCTCCTCTTCCTCCTCTTCCTCCTCTTCCTCCTGGTTTCGGAGAAACCCTCTCTGACCGTAACGGTCCAGCAGCAGATCAGCTGCTTCTCTCTTCTCTTCCTTACATCAGAACTGAAACCTGATCAGCACCATCAGGTTGGCGGTCGATCAACACTTGGATCCAGTGATAACAGCTGCCAGGTTTAGTTTCTGCACACCTGGAACCAGAACCTGAGGTCATTCTGAAGGTCTTGACCTGGATTTGGGTTAAAACTCCAAGCTTTTACTTTTGACTTTATGTGAATGAAGCTTGAATTAGACGTTTATCAGCAAAGCCCTGACCTGGATCGGTTGTAAGGATTAGAGTCTTGATCTCCCAGTCTTGATGCCTGACTTGTCCCTAAACGGCTTCCAGCCTGACCTGTGGAGAAAAACTCGACCTGTGGAGAAAAACTCGACCTGTGGAGAAAAACTCGACCTGTGGAGAAAAACTCGACCTGTGAACCGATGAGCAGATCCATCACACGTTCATAAAGCGGTGTAAACACATCCGTCAGGTTTCCCCTCCGCTGGGTCTTTTCTGCTTCCTCAGCCTCATCCGCTCCATGCCAGGCAGCTCTCCTTTGCCCTGACCTCCCCGCCTCCTGCTGGGGCATCTCAGAGGCCCTCAGGGGCCCCGCTGGGCTCCTTCTTCCTCTCCGGCCCCGCCTCTTCAGGAAACACCTCAGACTGCCGCCAAATAGCGGCCCGGGCCCCATGTGGGCCCCGCTCCTCGTCCTCTGCAGGCCTCGGAAATGCCTGAGGCCCCCGGGCCGCCGTGGGGCCCGTCACAGCGGGGCCCGTCACACGCGTTTGAATCAGATACAGATCTGCAGCCAGCAGCTCAGCTCTCCAGTGACGAGTTTGATCTCAGATCAGAAGAGCTCAAACCAGACGTGACGATTCTGTAGTTTCTCTGAGGAGAAACTATTTTTCTAGAAAAAACTGAGAACAGAGAGACTTTTGTTCTGAGCTGGAAAACAAAATGAAAGGAAGGAGAGAAAACATCTCCCAGTATCTGCTCATATTTCATTCATAGATCAGCAGCAGAGCCGTGAAGAAGAGGATTGTTAAAGCAGGTCCTCTGGCTCCACCTTGTGGCAGCAGCTGCATCCTGCAAACTGCTGCAAACTTCTCACATTCTCCAAATCAAACTGGAAACAAGAGAATCCAGCAGAGAGCAGAAAACACAGAGCAACTAATGAGGAGCTGGAGTGAAATGATCATGACTGAAGGAAAATTAGATGAAAAATAATGTTAGAACTGAAACCAAGTTCCTGTGGGGGATTCAGAGCTGCTTTTATCCTCTGACAGGTTTCTTCCTGTTGAATGAGTTTTTACTCTCTACTGTCGCCGCATGTATTCTCAGTTTGAGTCACAAGTGCTTGTCAGATGTCGCCCCCTGCTGGTCAGGGAGGAGATAGTGCTGCTTGTGATTGCATTGAAATGACTTGTGTTGTATAAATGAACATAATTCCTGTTGGGCTACATGAACAATCACTGAAGCACAGAGATTTTTATTCATCAAGGTTTAATGAAGGAATGTTGGTGGTCATAATGTTTTGTCTGATAGAGGCCAGTCCAGTCAGATTGCTTAGATATTTATTTACACATCAGACGAGAGGCGCCTTATGAAAAAACCTTTTTACAGTTTATTTACATCAACTGTAAGGCATTATGGGAAAACAGCTCAACAACAATAACATAAAACAGCTGATAAATAATAAACATGTTGATGGAATAAGTTTAGTTTGACTAGGACACAAAGTGGATCCAGTTAGTGGAAACAAGCAGAGACCAGAACCAGAACCGGGACCAGAACCAGAACCGAGACCAGAACCAGAACCGAGACCAGAACCAGAACCGGGACCAAAACAGGACCAGAACCAGGACCAGAACCGAGACCAGAACCAGAACCGGGACCAGAACCGGGACCAGAACCAGGACCGGGACCAGAACCAGAACCGAGACCAGAACCAGAACCGGGACCAAACCAGGACCAGAACCAGGACCAGAACCGAGACCAGAACCAGAACCGGGACCAGAACCGGGACCAGAACCAGGACCGGGACCAGAACCAGAACCGGGACCAAAACCAGGACCAGAACCAGGAACAGAACCAGAACCGAGACCAGAACCAGGACCAAAACCAGGACCGGGACCAGAACCAGAACCGAGACCAGAACCAGGACCGGGACCAGAACCGGGACCAGGACCGAGGGAAACTAATCTGGGTCCGGATCGGTTGTTTTCCCAACTGGAGGAAAATCTTTATGGATTTAATCGTTTCAGTTTGAATTTAATAATAATTTACGGCGTCGAGGATCAGGAAACAGTTTGATACTTTCTGCTGCCGGAACCGAAGGTCCGTCTGGTCGGGTTAGTGCGGATCCAGAACCGACACGAAGCGGTCGATCCGGATTCGGATCGACTCACTCTTTGGTCGAGTTTTATTTTGAAAGAACCACTTCCTGCCTGAAGCTTCTAGTGTTGAACAACCAGGTTCTGGTTCTTTACCTCCAAACAGAACCAGAACCACCGACATGTTCCTGGAAACACGGACTCTTCCTCTGACGCTCACCAGGTGGGAAAAGGTCAAAGGTCAACATGGAACGATGTGGTTTATCTGGTTCAGATGTGAACAGGAACCGGATCAGAACTTCACCTTGGATTTAAATGTTCCTCACAGTTGGGCCCGGTGGTTCTGCTGGTCCAATCGGGTCCACCTTGTCCCAGCAGAACCTCAGGCTGCAGAGTCGGGTCGGACCGCGGAGTCTGAACCCGACTGACGTTTGGGTTCAGAGAGCGAAAAGGAACCATGGAGGAATGGACCGGAGCGGAACCACGATCCCGACCAGAACCGGGACCTGGACCAGAACCAGTACCAGAACCAGAACCAGGACCAGAACCAGGACCAGAACCAGAACCAGGACCAGAACCGGGACCAGAACCAGCAGGAGTGTTTGGACCTCCTCTGCAGCTCGGTGGGAATGTTGGAAACCCAGAATCAACGTTCTGCTGGTGATGCCTTCAATGAACGGGGAAACAATCAGATGTTTCAGCATCTGACCCGCTGATGGGATTAAAACCACCAGAACTTGTGAATCGGATCCGTTTGACTCTCTCGCTCTTCCTCGGTGTTTCTGCTTCTTCATCGTCGCCGAGTCACATGACCTCCGGTGGCTCCGCCCTCCCAGCCCGACGGAGCGGCTGCTGCTGAACTCTGGAGCAGGAGGAGCTCACAGTTTTACTCCTGGAAGGCGACCAGCAGGCGGGTCAAACAGAACCAGAGGGCGGGTCAAACAGAACCAGAGGGCGGGTCAAACAGAACCAGAGGGCGGGTCAAACAGAACCAGAGGGCGGGCCAAACAGAACCAGAGGGCGGGTCAAACAGAACCAGAGGGCCCGTCGGGTTGGTTCCGCTGGGTTCTGCAGGAATAAAGTGCTGAGAGGAAATCAGGATCCAGAGGAAGAAAGCAGCACATACTGATACGTCTGAATCCTTCATCTGGGATAAATACTGCTAGAGCCGATCCAGGAACCCGGAGCAGCAAGGGGAGAGGAACCGGACCGGAGAGGAACCGGACCGGAAAGGAACCGGACCGGAGAGGTTCTGGAGCGGTTCCCCTCCCGGCCAGCGGAGGGAGCAGCAGGTCAGCGTTAGCTCCTGAGAGCCGGGCTGCTGGACTTCTCCGCCTCTCTGACGTTCCCGTCCTTCATCACGGCGGAGAACACCTGCAGACAGGAAGCAGGAAGTCACACAGGAAGTGGCTCCGGCCGGCGTGATTCTGCGGGAGTCGGAGCGGACCTGGGCCCAGCGGCGGTTCCGGCTGACCATGTGCGTGTTGGCCATGGCGGCGAACAGCGTGTGCGGCTGCAGGTCGTCGGGGAGGCGCGTGAGGAACTGGGCGATGTGGATGAAGTCCATCTGCAGCAGGACGTCCTGGAAGAGGCGCAGGATCCCCAGGCCGGTCCGGAACAGGCTCTCCTCGCCGTCCCGGCAGAACACGTCCCAGACCCGGCACGCCACGTCCAGCGGGAGAGACTTACTGTACAGCGTGAAGATCCTGGACGCACAGGCAGGGACGTTCAGAAATAACCGCCTCATTCTGGTATTCTTCTAAATGTTTTATAAAAGTTTATGACGTATTTTAAATGTTTTTGGTTTGGAAAAATAAACTTTTTCTCAAAATAAGTTGTAAAATAATAATGCTTAAAAACTGGATTGAAAAAACTTTAAATATATAAAAAGTTTTAAAAAATGAAACTTTTTTTAAATTTTATTTTTCTATAAATGTATATTGAAG